ATGGGTTCTCATATGTCGGGATAAGCTGGACCTGTCACCTGTCCTGTATCCACACTCCCAACACATGTAGGGTTTCTCACCAGAGTGTTTTGCTTGATGTTGGTACAAATCAAATGTCTGTGCTGCAGAATAGTCACACTGGTCACACTTGTAGGGTTTTTCTCCAGCGTTATCCCACTTGACTTGTTGTTCTGCCGCCTGGCCTTGAGCATTGCTTGTTTTGCTGTCACAGTCGACCTGGGAAAGCCCGTTGGGAGACCCATCACAGCAGTTCTGACCAACTCCGGTGGGAGACCCCTGTCCTGTCATTGCCATGTTCAGCCTAACAAAAAAAATGAAGAAATTATACAGAGTAAGCGTTATAAGCTGTCAATGATAAAATAGAATTTATAGAAAACAAGCTTCAAAGAATTCTAACTTCACCAAGCTTTACAATTTTACCTAATGCATTACAACGTAACCAAACATAATTCTAACGTGTTGTCTTTCTCGCATTTGAATAATTTTGCTTCTATGTTGTTCCAATCACAATTTGTGAGATCTTACAATCACTCACTCACACCACCAATCTCTTAAAACATTTTATCTCATATTATTTATTACTTCTACGACTACGAACAGTGGGTAAGATGACTCTATTCGCTAGGCTGGAAAGAGAGTCGGCAGTATAGCCTATAGGTTTGGTCACCAGGCTTCTCTATTCAATGTTTTTACAAATCAGTTCTACGCGTTTTTAGATTTTGTAATGTACGCCTTGTGCGATTCTTCACAATACAATTAAAATTTCTATATAATTTCACGTACTCTAAAAAGGCAAATCTGTCTGATGCAAATCGACGTACATGTGAGTTTTACTCGTATACAACAAAACGCCTACGTTTTTGCAATTATAAAATACTTCCTACTGTTGGAAACTAAAGCAGTTAAAAACACGTTAGTCATTTACCTGATGCAAATTAGTTGGCTTTTTGGTATTTTTGATATTAGTCAAAAGATATTTGTTTGCATAACATATAGGTACACACGTCCAAGTAAACTACAGGAAATAAAATATAGTACTTTTGTTAAAACGCAACGCTAACAGTACCACCTACCTTTTAACTTGTGTACAATTACTTACATATAATAATTACTACCCTATGTATATCTGCATTGTACAATCAATACCATCAAGTTAAATATGGCTATAAAAAGTTTTTTTCTTGTTCAAAAAACTTTCGATACTAGAACATTTGTATATGGGCTACTACATGTAGGCTCGACAGTTTTTTTTGCTAAAAATTATTCTTCTGACTGAACCATTGTTTTACAGTAATTAAAAATACAGCCCATCCTCTGGATAAAGCTTTGCCTATTTGTAAATACAGTACATGTGTTATAATTTCATAACAATATTTAGCCTAACTGTTTTCGAAATAGCAAGGAGGTTTGTATTTTAAACCTTCTTGGAAGTAGTAATACAGTAATAGAGAGAAACTGTAATTAACACGGGATTGTGCAAACTGAATGTCACTACGAGATGGTCACAGTTGCAAATTTGATACTTCCGTATGAATTTTTATATGTTGAGTTAGGGTAGATTTAGAGGCTGCAGAATAGCTACACTGTTCACACTTGTAGGGCTTTTAACCTGAATGGCCTTTCATGTGTTGGGCTAAGGAAAACTGGCAAGTGGTCATGTACCCACACTCCCCACACATGTAGGGTTTCCCACTAGTGTGTTTGGTGAGATGATAGTCTAAATTAGATTTCCATGCTGTAGAATAGTCACACTGGTCACACTTGTAGGGTTTTTCACCTGTGTGTGTTGCTAGATGTCGATCCAAACTTGGTTTAAATGCAGCAGAATAGTCACACTGGTCACACTTGTAGGGTTTTTCTCCTGTATGGGTTCTCTTGTGTTGGGACAAGTTAGACCTGTAAGCTGTCCTGTACCCACACTCCCCACGCATGTAGAGTTTCTCATCGGTGTGTTTTAGTACATGTCTGTCAAAATTGGATTTCCTTGCTGCAGAAATGTCACAGTGGTCACACTTGTAGGGTTTTACTCCAGTATGGGTTCTCATATGTTCGTCCTGTACCCACACTCCCCACACATGTAGGGTTTCTCACCGGTGTGTTTTAGTACATGTCTGTCAAAATTGGATTTCCTTGCTGCAGAAAAGTCACAGTGGTCACACTTGTAGGGTTTTTCTCCAGTATGGGTTCTCAAATGTGTGGTTAAGACATGTTTGTAAGCCGTCCTGTACCCACACTCCCCACACAAGTAGGGTATCTCACCGGCGTGTTTTGCTAGATGTCGGTCTAAATGACATTTCTGTGCTGCAGAATCATCACACTGGTCACACTTATAGGGTTTTTCTCCTGTATGGGTTCTCATGTGTTGGGACAAGCTAGACCTGTAAGCTGTCCTGTACCCACATTCCCCACACATGTAGCGTTTGTCACCGGTGTGTTTTGCTTTTATGTTCATCTAAAGAGACTTTCTGTGCAGCAGAATAGTCACACTGGTCACACTTGTAGGGGTTTTCTCCTGTATGGGTTCTCCTGTGTTGGGACAAGCTAGACCTGTTAGCTGTCCTGTACCCACACATGTAGCGTTTTTTTGTCACCGGTGTGTTTTGCTTTATGTTCATCTAAAGAGACTTTCTGTGCAGCAGAATAGTCACACTGGTCACACTTGTAGGGTTTTTCTCCTGTATGGGTTCTCAAATGTTTGGTTAAGACAAGTTTGTAAGCTGCCCTGTACCCACACTCCCCACACAAGTAGGGTTTCTCACCGGTGTGTTTTGCTAGATTTTGGGATGAAGCATTTTCGCCAGGCTTTTCTCCTGTGTGGCTGATCAGAGTAGAGCAAGACTTGGGAGTTGTCCTAAAACTGCTCTCGTCACTCTCAAAGGGTTTGTCCCCATGTTCAGTTTCGTCCATCTCGCTTCCCTGGAAAGAATCAGCACGGACAAATCAGGGCTGAAGAATTTCTACAAACTTAAAGGACTGTCTGTAACAACATCAGATTTTATTGTCCAAACAGTACCCGTGCAGTCGCAGCCTTTTTTAAAGGCTGAATTGATGCAGGGTATCCCATAATAATCAATACAAATCACAACAATCAAATAATACACGACACACATATTTGCACCACAATTTTTTTGGAACTGTCGCAAGGGTCTGTGGGGCTGCCATTCGGCACCACAAGGTGACCTCTGCGAATTTCCCCAACCGAAGTTAGGTACCCACACCTGGGTGGAGTGAGGAAGGTTGTGTAAAGTGCATTTCCCAAGGGCACAATGTCAGGTCACACCCGGGTCTCCCTGCTTCATGGTCGAACACTCTAACCACTACGCCCCCCGGTGACACATAATTTTAGCGTGTTTGGCCGCATATGGAATCCCCCCCCCTTAAAGCAAAGTTGTAGCTTAGTGTGATATGATTATAAGCAAACAGTTATTGTCATCACACTGTTGGGAAACCAAGATGCTAAAAGTACAAACCTGCGTATGACAAGGGTGTCAAATCAGAGGCTAGCTTCTGTCTGGATGCAGGGAGGGACGCCACAACCTGGAACAGCATATTCAAATTATGCAATAAATTCGCTGATGCAAATTTTTCTCGTCACCACAAAGCAGAAGGCTAGTCTGCCATAATATTAGCCCCAGATTTGGTAAACCGGTTGGAAACGGGAAAAAAACAGTTTAGGGGCCCAGCTAGGGTCGAAATAAAGGCTTTACTACTACTACTACTAACGTATGTTTGGTTTCGCCCCCCCACCACCCTGCATTTCTACCATTTTCATATTAAGAAAACTTCCTATAAATAATAACCTTACTCTGAACCTTATTCCACAGAAAGGATCTCAAACTATTTCTACTCAATATCAGAATACTTTTCTGTTCGTTTCTAAGTCTTTAAATACCCGCTTCCTATGATGGTTTTTCTCTTCACGTAAGGCCACACTGATTTAATTTTATGGATGACATCCTCTGGGGACCACAAAACTAATGCGAGAGGGCGAAAAAAAAATCCAGCCAAAAAAAAATGCTGCTTAACCACAGGAATACAAAGCCGGTAATGCGGATTGAACCACAGGACACAGTGACTGCATCAAATAAACAAGTTTTTATTTGCAGGAGGTAGATGTAGATCATCTTATTCTGGTCTCATCCTCCTTCACAGCTTCCTCCTTTGCAGCTTCCTCCTTCGCAGCTTCCTTCTTTGCAGCTTCCTCCTTCGCAGTTTTCTCTCCCTACAGGTAGATATATACATTATATATACAGTATATAGTTTATACTTTATACCCTGTAGAAGTGCATACAACAAGGGGATTGAATAGATGAAATGTAAAAGGTAGAGCAGAAACAGTACCCACCTGAAAGATAGTGGTCCATCTTCTTCCTCTCTAGATCTCTTCCTCTTCAGCTTTCTCTTCACTCTTGTACGCTCTCCAACACCAGCTTTGCACACCTACAGAAAAATGACATGGTATGCAAAATTGATTTACTTGGAATGTATGTTTCCAAATAAAATTGAAGTACAGTGTATTGTAAGTTACAACATTACTAATGCAGGTGAGAATGAATGTACAATTAAAACATGAGGTACACAATAATATTTAACCTACATGGCACACTGGGTGAATGCACTGAAACTCTTGCAGTTTCTCTGGAGGGATGGGAAGCGTGTTTGTGTGACATCATTTTTGCCAGTCTCCCTATTGTATTCCCCTTATCAAGTTTACTCGCTTGTATAAGTTGGACCGACGTCAATATATTTCTTAATTTATGATTGTTGTACACTTTCAGGTGGCAACACACCAGCAGAGTGCCGACGACAACACCCTGCGACGACCGTCGCCCCCCTCCCCCCACCTGGACCTAAGCAGCCGGAAAAAGTAAGTACACCTTGCAAGCTGACAAATGCAAGTGCACAGAGTATCACTTGCATATTTTCGAGTATAGAGAAATTGTAAATTATAAACAGTGATATTTGTCA